AATTATTCTCACCTTTATGAGTCCTCAACACATCACAGACAGCGAAGTTGCCCCTAAATAAAAACCGTGTTCAATGTTGATCAATTTCGGACTGCTGCAAATTATAACATACCGTCGATGCACGAAACGTATGATGAAAAAGAAGGTGGGAGCAGTCAGTGGCAGAACGATAAGTGACGGAATGGCGAAGACGAATCTAAATGAATTCAGAGGGATGCTCGAAAGAACACCACCACTAAATCGGGTCAGCTACCTTGTCGAAAACAGCGACTGACTGCCGTCAAGGAGAAATCTCATCAGACAAGCAAGAACGGCCATGACAACAACGACTGGTAGAAGAGCTCGTTCAGCCACCATGTGTAGACAGTAGTAAAGCTGAAACTATTGTGATCAGGAAACATGCAGACTGCTGCGCTCAAACACCACCACGTCTAACCAAACACTTCAGCAGATGTGTAGATTAAAAGGATAAGCTTCGAAGCCTTAGGCTAGGCCCAAGCAATATATAGCGTTAACCTGATGATCCACTGTGGTGAAACGTCGCCCACTTGCGCCTACCGCACACAAATGGTCAGCCAAAGGCGTCGATGTGGCAACAGCCTGCAAGTTTCTATTTTCACATAAAGTAGAGCTCTTCGACGGTTAGTCTAACGCCTACCTTGGTCACATCAAGAGGTATGGCTGCGCCTGTGTCGCGGTCCACCTCTACTTTGTCGGAAATACGATCGCCCGTCTTCAGCATTTCACCATTCGAGAGTTTACAGTCACAGGGTGCAGCCTGAATGCAAATTAGCCATATTGTAGGCCTACAGAGAAAAACAGCTAAAGACATAGGCTTTCAGTTGCTTTTTTTCGAGCTCCTTCAGCACTCTGACTATAAGCGTCCTTTGAGCGATGCCTACGTTGCACGGTTAACGGCGGAAATTAGCGATTAGAAAGCAGCTTATTGGAATTAAGGTAGAGGTGGTCAGTGGTGCCGGGATGAAGGAAAAAACCATGAAAAACGGCCCAGAACCCGAGAAATGGGACCCCTTCCTTGCCCGTTGATTTCCGCATTGATGCGACTCTCATCGGTGCTGCCCTCTTCAACGCTAACGCTCTCTCTCTCTCTCTCTGCTGAACGGCTAGAGACCTGCGGCGAGTGGTTAGCCGGTCGGTGGGCGTGCTGCGTCGATAGCGAAGCGCGCCCACCGAACGGCGGATGAGCTCACCTAGCGGCATTCGCTGATTCTTGTGAGATAACTGGATTGAATTCAAAGCATAGCACTCACCTGAGAAGGTCGAAGAAGAATCACGTCTCCTTCGACAAGAAGCAGTCTCGGCACGGCGACCACGTTGCCGTCACGAAGCGCTGTCTGCGTCAGCATATCATTCGCTAACGGCTCACCCAATGGAGCATAGGCAAATGGCGTCGTTGAGATCTGCAACTGCCAAAAGATCACGCAGAACTCAAATCCTGTGAGAAATTGATATAGGGGAGTTCGCAGTGTCACTTACATTGGAAACATAGTCGAGCGCTTCTGATGCCTTCCGTTTCTTCTCTTCTAACGACGCCTTACATAACTTCCATTGCATGTAGTGTGCTGCTAGCAGAAAAATCAAATGGAAAGCCGCCAGCAAAAGCAGTGCGACGGACAACTGGTTTTCGCTGGAAAAAGATCAAATTTCATTGTGAGTTGAATTCCATTAATTTTCTTCGTCTGCAAGAAGGATGGATGTACTGGCCAGCTTTTCCCACGATGCGCCATGCATGCGAGTCCCACTCTGAATCTTAGGTTTCGAATGAGATATGGTCTGCGAGGAGAACTAGCTGATGTAGAGTTCACCGCAATATGTGTCCAAAACGTAGCTACTACTGTTTAAGGAGGAATTCACGATAAGAACGAAGGTCAAAGAAGGGGAAAATTGCATAGTTGGGAGACAGGCGGACCTCCTGAGGGTGCTGACCGACGCGCAATTGGCAGCGAAGATTTGACCTCGGCGATCTAGCATGGCTCACTCTTGGCGCGGTTGGCGGGGTACGCCCACCGACTATCTAATCACTCGCCGCAGGTCTACGTGGCGAGTGATTAGATAGCAGAGAGAGCGTAGTGTTGAAGAGGGCACAGCGATGAGAGTCGCATCAATGGGCAAGGAAGGGGTCCCATTTCTCGGGTTTCGGGCCGTTTCAATGGTTTCTTCTTCATCCCTGCTCCACTGACCACCTCTACCCTTATTCCAATGAGCTAACTTTTCATCGTAAATTCTGACTTTAAAACGATGATCACGAAGGCTGGAGGGTGGTGTGGTTCTGATGACGTCATTGAATTTCATTGGTGGAAGGACGTTAAGAGGGTGGTCGCAACCACACCCCCAGCGTTTTGAAAGGTCCAGCCTGCAATGACGTTCAAAGACGTTATCATAGGCCCTAAGCCCTTCAGCCAGCGTAACGACTGCCTTTAAGCTCAGAAGGACTAAAGGCTTGAAGACTTTCTTGACCTGAGCTGTATTGATCCGAAAGGGGGTCTTTTCAGTTCTTCTCGTCAGGTCAAGTTCTCCAAATATTGGGATACCACTCCTTTGCTCGTAGCAGACCAAGGACTGAGCCTGCTCCATGACAGGCTTGAGCATAAGCCAGTCGTAGTGACAATGCGTTTGGTGAGTCCACAAGTTAGAGACTGGGCAGCCCTAAAAGCCTTTTGAAGAACTGGTGAGTGAATTTTTCCGCTTGGTTCCCCCCCCCCATCTATCCCATCTCGAAGCTCGAAACAAAATGGATTGCCACGAGTTGAGTTGTCAGCGGACGTCGCTGCTTGCGTCATAACTGCGATCTGGGAGTAGGAACAGGATCTCATGACGGGCTTTTTCATCTACTCAAGATGGAGGGCAGATTGTTCGAATGTCACGTTTTGAACGCAACTCTTGAGCGGCACCTTACCACGCAATTCTAATGTTGCCCTCTAAGTGCAAAAACAATGTTTTCGGTCGCGAATAGATCCTTAAAATGTTATAGTTTCTTTCGTGTTCAAAGTAGCAGGGTCTACAATTGCAAAAGCCGTGTGCCATGAATTCTGCGTTCGATGTTGGCCAACGGATCTCCGCCCACCGCCCCCAGTTTTTAGATGT